GCTTCAGAAACTGAAAGAAGCCAATCTGAAGCTGAGTCCCGCTAAATGCAAATTGTTCCGAAAGGAAGTGACTTACCTGGGACATGTCATCTCTGCAGAAGGTGTGCGCACGGATCCTGAAAAGGTATCAGCGGTTAAATCCTGGAAACGACCCGAAAATGTCCATCAGCTGAGAAGTTTCCTAGGGCTTTGCACCTACTATAGGAGATTCGTGATGAACTTTTCTTCCATCGCAAAACCTCTTCACAAGCTGACAGAGAGCAACCAAAAGTTCTTGTGGACAAAAGAATGCGAGGATGCATTTAACAACTTAAAGGAGGCTTTAACAATATTTAATAGTGTGCCCTTTAGTCTTTAATTCTTTCTTTATATTTTTACAATACATAATTCCTTAAGCTTAATGTCAGTAGCCATCACCCACTTTGTGAAAAAGGTACGAAAGTCTTTGTTCGGAACTGCGCGCTTCACAATTCCAGTAAAGTGGTGTTTGGCTGTTCTGTGCATGCGCACACAGAAGCAGCACGCGAGCCGGGTAGAAAGAAGAGCACTGTCGCTCTTGCAGTGCAAAAATTCTGGCATGTTGCTGAAAACGTGATTTCTTTTTTACTCCGCGCGTGTGGTATTCCTCCACAAGGTGGAACTTCATCATACGGACCATAAACAGAGTTCATGAAAATTTGCAACTTTTAAAAAATTGCCTTACTGAAATTCAGCCAACATCAAATGCAGATCAAACTATTGCAAAAGCAACAGGAATTTTAAAATATCTAAATGATGATAATTTCAAGTTTTGGTTAGAGATTTTTTATCAGATACTTCATGATGAAATAATATACAACTAAATGCAATCCAGAGAAATTAGTGTGTTTAAAGTTTTCAAAACTGCTATTTTAGAATTAAGAAACTCAATGTACTGTAAGAATTTTTCAAAGACACTGATGGCAGAAGCTAAGGAAATATATGATTTTATACTATATATTGGAATAATGCACAGATATTCTTCCACTAAACACTTAGCAGCTGCTAAATTGTTTAACAAGAAATGCTTACTAGTTTTAGGAATGAACATTCTACAGAAGAAATAGTACTGACCACTGAAGCATATCCAATGATTGGCAAAGAAAAGCTTGAAACTGAACTAAAAGTAGTCTATTGTAGGTCTGATATCCATGAATACCGCAAATTAATTGAGCTACTGAAATTTATCTTCGAAAATAATCTCGATGATGTTCTTAGTGAAATTATAAAACTGATAAAAATTCTCTTGAGAGTTCCCATGACTACATCAGAGGCAGAAAGCTGCTTTTCAACATTGAAAAGAATGAAAACTTTTCTAAGAAGCACTAGGAATTCGGAAACACTAAATGCGCTTGCATTGCTTTCAATAAAGAAAAATTTCCTCAGTTGTCGTCCAGACATCAAGGAGAAAATCATTAATCTTTTCGCGCAAATTAAAACAAGAGGAATGGATTTCATTCTTAAATGACTAGACAAAGATTGAAGTGTAATAATTTTGGTTAAAGTAATTAAGAAATGTTTAATTTTGTTCTTGTAAGATTTCATGAAGTTTCAAAATAAATTTTCTTTTTATACATGTTTGTTTCCTTTTACTTAATTTTAAAACAAAGGTTAAATTTTTTTTGGAACAGCACCCCCACTAATTTTAGCCACTAGCAGCCACTGGGCTCAACAACTGAAAGGTAAACTCATCTGAAAGCAGTCCTGCGTAACCCTCGAGAGTGTGTCCGGTGGTAAAATCGACAATAATAGAAAATTAAAAACACCCAGTTTGGAAGTTCCGCCTACCATCAAACGTCATATGTAGCAGATATTACAGATCCTTGTATACTAGAATTAGACTTACTACGAAAATACAATTTTTCCTTGAACTTTGAAAATAATAAACGACATTCTGCCTAACATAAGTACACAACCCTATTCGGAATTAATGATGAAAGAGTTAAATCTGTGCACTAATTTGAATTGAAAAGTATATATGTATTGCACACATATGCTTTTGTTAATGAAAAAAAAAAAAAAAAATTCCGGTTTTTAGATTAAACATTGCGATAAACACTTAATACAAATCGTCAATCGTTTAGTTTCTTTCCTCATTATTTAACGTCCTTTTTTTCATCTATCGAGAATAAAATGCCTGAAAAGAAGAGAATTAGCAAAAGGATTTGAATTCTGCATCATTCTATATTCCTCTTTTAGAACATGTAAATCTATAACCGAACCTGTGTGAAGCTACTTAGCATATTACAGTTCTTTCTAAACGTCCGTGAAAATACATCTGTACTTTTATCTTACTATCTTTTGATGAATGAACAAGTATTCCACAGAGGATTATAGGGTTATAAAGAAAGAATAACACAAGGATAATCTCATGTTTGTGACATGCGCGTCATAAAAATGGAGAGCACATCTCTTGTTTGTTTTGATTTCTTTTCCTTTAAGAGTTTTGCTCTTCAAAAGAGTGTTCAACATTTTCCGAGGAAATAACGAAAATGAAACTTCGCTTTATTTTATACTTCATACATAACTTTTTAAGATTATTATTTAAATTAACCAGTTATTTAGAATTTCGAACTTTACAAAAACTTCTCTTTCCCGTTTTATCATCAGAATGTAAATGAGATTAGCTTTTATTCCAACTGAGGTTTTTAGATTGTAAGACAGAGCATGTTTCTGCCTGCGCTTGCACCGCTATGCTTAATTCTGCCAGCTCTGGCGAGGTGCAATTACTCGGCTTTGCGTTACATCGCTGCCGACATTTGAATTTGATAAGCGCGCAAAGTTACTGAGCCAGCTTTAGAGGGATAAATTGTGTAGTCTTTGAATACCAGTACATGTTTTAAATTAACTTTAATAGATTAAGGAAAACCTTATAACTTATTAAAGCACAATAGATATTTCGTTAATTTGGCATTTTGATTTACGGAAATCATATAGTTAGATACTACATTTAGATACACTTCCTAACCAAATACATCTAAAATTTTCTAACTAATTTCGGGAAGCATTTTAACTGGAAAAATATATATCTAGGATCAATATTTAAAATAAATTCTATGGTTACCCTTTTGAAAAAGTCTGCCTATCTTTTCATCCTTAACATCAAAGTTTACTGGTGTAAGTTCTCTGCATTTTTTTTAACTGCAGAGAAAGTATTAAATCAGTAAATTTAATAATTGTACCTTGGTGTTATTTCTTATTTTTCTTGTTTTCTTGGTTTCTTGTTCCTTGGTGTTATTTCTTTTTATATAAAAAAACAGTAAAGAAATACAAAAAAAAATTAAAATATTTATGAAAATAGGATAATTTAAACTCTTTTACACCCTAAAATAAAAAAAAAAATAAATAAATAAAAGAAGAAGAAAATTCACGTGACACTAAAAATCTAAAAATATAGAAAATGATTAAAATAGTGTAATTTTTTTAAGCACATCCTAAATCAAAAAAAAAAAAAAAAAAAAAAAAAAAAAAAAAAAAAAATCAGGTGACATTAAAAATTTTTTTTTAATTATTTAAATAGTGTCACTTTAAGCGCATCCTAAAAATAAAAAAATACCAAACAAATAGTTAAAATCTGAACAATTTTTTAAAATACTCAAAAAATAATATATATTCTGTAAATAACGACATATTTTAAAGTCTTTTCTGAAGTCACAAAAAATATTCTCCATCTGTCATAACTTTGTTGATATCATCTATTATACCTTTGTTTAAAGATGTTCTTCTTGTAAAAAGGGTGAAATGTTTACAGTGAGCAGCATATGTCTATATTACAAGAAACACGACAAAATTCGACATAATTTTGATTTTAATTACATAAAAAAATTAGGAAGGAAGTATCAAGTATCCTATAGTATGGGACATATGTTGCTTGGAACCCCAGACTGTTTTGACCAGACTCTAATTATAGGAATGTTAAACTGAGTGTTGGAATAAAATGAAATGAAAAAAAAAAAAAAAAAAAAAAAAAAAAAAAACATTGATGCGAAACACTCAGAAATTTCTTTTATCTTAGTTAAGCATTTCTCCTTTAAAGCCATGATAAGATTTTAATGATGGATGTAAGAATGGGACGAAAGGATTAACTATTGTAAAGAAGTCTGTATGCTTTTCATCAATTTCTTTTTCTTTTTATTCTTTTGCATTGAATAAACAGTTAGTTAAACAATAATTTAAACATTATATTTTTTTTTTCAAAGTAGAACAGTTTACAAAGATGCCGCCTCCGTTTAGAATATCGCTATGAAAATGATTTACACAAGCTGAGGAATGCTTGAATAAATACACCAAAAAAGTGACATTACTTCAGGAATGAAGATACTATTATTATTAATTTTTCTCATTAAGTATATCCCATTCAATTTCATATAAGTAAAACAATATTTAAAAATCTTTTCGCGATGAGACTTAGAGGAAAATCAAAGTAACTGCAAATCGAAAAACCGTAGAACGTCAACTACAACCACATCTGTTATTGTACTTTAATTTCTGTAGTTGCTAATTTCACGCATAAAACACGTAGAGTTACTATTATTTAACTATAGGTTGAGAGCAGCATATGACACATTTGTTCTATCATGTGATTGTTTCCTGAAAACATTTTGTGATTTAATATTTTCGTCCCATAATTTTGCATGTTGAATGAAATTTTGAAAGGCAAAAGCATAATATTTCTGACACTGAAATTCTACGAATTTCAACGTAGTATGACAGATGATTTAGAAAAATCCATCTTTACATTCATCTTTCTATATTATAAGTCATTTTGAATGCTTATGCTGTGTGGTGTACAGACATACAAACAGAGACTCGAAATCTGAGTTGGAAATACGAATGGGTTATGTGAATTAACAGAAAATGAATATTTATGTATAAATTTTTTTAAATTCAGATGTTATGTACTGTATTAAGTAAGTAAAATTCAGACCTATGCTATATGATTACAGCATTTTATAATTCAGTTTCCCCCAAACCTTTTACAGGGTTTGACTGAAACGATTGTTACAGTAGCAATGATATCTGGTCCACCACTTGGCAGTTTTCTTTACACGGTAAGTGCGCATACTTCTCAAATCTTATTACTTTCCATAATATCAGTATAATAATAGCTGTGAATTCTTACACATTGTTAATGCAGCGTTTTTTGAAGGCATGTTTTTTAAAACAAATTCTATGAAGCAGTGTTTTTTTGAAGGCATTTTTTTTAAAACAAATTCTTTGAAGCAGTGTTGGAGAACACAAATAGTATTATTACACTTTTCACTTTTACAAAAGGGTTAAATTTTATTTTTGGTCTCATCAATAATTATTACGATACCTTATTTTTGAATTTTTTTAAAATTATAATCTGCATTTCTTTACTGAAGTACAAAAAGATTCAATTAATGATCAAAAATTACAAATTTAAAATTTAAAATTGAATTCTAAAATTGAAATTAGGATAGCTGTTATTTATACAGTGGGTCACATTAGTTTTCGGACGCTCGTATTGCTGAATTTTGTCTGCATAGATCTTGTACTACATATTGGAACATAGACTTCAAAATTTTTCTAATACATTATTTTTTCTCAATTTCTAACAAGCGTTGATTCTTATTTGGAATAAAATTTTATTTGCAGCAAAATAATTTATTCAAAATGTGTCAATTAGTAACTCACACACTAATTCATATGCCCGGAAGTTTTGTTCAAATGCTTTAACAGACCAAGTTTCTTGTCATAGTTTTTCATTTTAAGTGAAATTCCATCATAAAAATTATCTTTTGCGTTTGAAAATCATTACTTGTTTAGCAAAATATATTAACATTTCCATACCTAAAGTGAACATGACAAGACGGTAAAAATTAACTGCAAGTCCTGTTAGAAATTTAATTATTCATCATTTAAAAGAAGGTTAAAGAATTCGAAATATTAAAAAATATTTGATTCAAAACTCTCAGCTATCATTGGTGTTTTACAAAATGAAGGAAACTGCGTAAAACTGTTGAAAATGCATTGAAGTGTAGAACACATGCCAAGCTAAGACCGAGGAATCAGAGATTTATCGTGCAAAAAATTAAACAAGACAGAAGATTAAATGTTGTAAAACTTACAGCAGATTTAGGAGAATGGTTTGCAATAAACGTTAACCCTGAAATTATTAGAAGAGTCATTAGGAAACAATGGGCAATTAAAAAAATGTGATGTAAACTGCATGGGATGTTATAGTGTGGGGTAGTGTTAGATTACCCCCTGCACCCCCTAGTAAGCATTATCGGTATACTTACCAGCCAACGCTATATCTGAGGTTCTGCAGCCTGTTCTCCTTTCTTACCTTCAAGGCTTGCTTGCGACCATATTTCAACAGAACAATGCACGACCACACGCTGCACGCAATGTAAAAGCTTTATTCTTTGACCATGAAATTATGCACTGTTATCCTGGCCTGCCCGTTCTCCAGATCGAACATGTCTAGTTAATGATTGGAGAACGCCTAGCCCGGCTTGCTGCCCGTGCGAAAGTACACCAGATGAACTTTGGCTACGTGTGGAGGCAGCATGGGTTGCCATTGCCCCAAAGCCTTTTTCACTCGGTGCAGTAGCATGTAGAAGGGGTTACCGACAGACATAGAGGCAACACTCATTACCGATTTTCTTGTCTTCCTCACTTCAAAGAAGGCTGTATTTCAAATAAATTAACATTGATACTATGGGTAATCTTTGAAATAAATTTGACCTTTGATGTCTCTTGTCTTCGTGTCGCGCACTGTGGGTGGCTAGCAGCGTATAACTATCTTAAAGTTATCAAAACTCATCCATACACATTTTCCGGTCTTAAATTTTATCGAATATGCATGGAGTGAGTTGGAGAAAAGAATAAGAAAACATGATATTTCTTCGAAAGCTAAACTAGCGTGATTTTTACAGAGGAATGGAGCAAAATGGCATATTCTTAGAGAAAAAAATAAAATTGAATTCATGAGAAAACGCATAAAAAGTGTAATTTTAGCTAAAGGATATCCAATGAAATATTGAATGTCTCATTATTTTCATATTTTTGTATTAAATATGAACTGTTTATTCAAATTATCCTTATACTTATAGGTGAGTTCACTTCCCTAGCTTTTCGAATAATGTTTTTTTTTAACAAGTAGGTTCTATAAAAGATGATAGTGCATGCAAAATTTTTTTAAAAAAAGTCATTTCACAATAGTTAGTAACTGATATTTTCAATTAAAAATGAAAAACACAAATGTTCGAAGACAAATGTGAGACACTGTATATAGGAAGTAATATTTAAGAATTTAAAAATAATTAATGAATGATAGAATGAATAAAATAATAGAATTACTTTCCGTTATTTAATACAGCAAATATATATATTCTGTTTTCATTACTGATGTGTGAATTCAAACATAGCTTTGAAAGTGCTATGTATTCAAACATAGCACTTTCAAAGCTATGTTTCAAAGTGTAATTCAAACATAGCACTTAAAAGATAGAGATTAATATTATTAAACAGTGCAGAAAACATTCAAAGAATATGTGTACCTCAGAAATTTTAGAGTACTTGAAGCTGGCGGATAGTAATAGCTAGAATATAACAGTAATGAAGCAAGATTTATTTCAGTCATATATTACACAAGTTTATTATATCTCTAAAATTTTATTCATATAATTGCACTTCAAAATCCTTTTGTTAGCTTAGCAGGCAAAACGTTCCAACAGATAAATATTTTTTGTTTTATAGGTTGGAGGATATTCTGCGCCATTTGTATCGTTTGGCAGTGTTATAATTGTTATGAGCATAGCTTCATATTTCCTTATTTCAGAAGAAAAATCAGGCAAGTACACTTTATTAAAATTGATGTTTAATTAGTTCTGTTAACAAAAACCTAAATTATGCGTGATATATATTTTTACAGCAGACGAAAATTAAAATAATTATTAGTGTAATTTATGGATTATCACAGCTTCATAGTGCTATGTCTTGAAAGACTAATCATTATCGATTAATATGCTTAGATTTAAGAAACAAATCATAAGGCATTCCTTCAAATTATGAGAAATTTGCTTATGTGCTGCATTTTGATAAAAACATACGAAAATACAATTTTTATGGTGGGTCCTACGGAAAATAAATGATCAATTGAAGAAGTATTGACAAAGGAAAATATCTGTCTTTATTAGATAAAGGCTTTTCTAGATATCAATAATTGAACATTTTGGAACTCATACATAAATACTAGTACACGTAAACTGAAATTTTGAATGCAAATTTTTAAAAGATGCTTGATATGTTTAGAGAAAAGGGTTTCAAATTAATGTTCTTAGAAATGCTACAATTCGAATGAGTGTGCATTTTGTTCAATTCCGTATTATACTACACATAAAGCTGATAATTTCTCTTCTGACGAAATAGCTTTGAAACGAATTTTAGGACTAATATTGCATGTTATGTTCCGGTTTCCTTTGCCCCTCACCCTGAAAAGTATCTTCAGCAAGATAAGAGAGCACTTAATGGCATTTTCTTCGCAGAGGGGAAAGACAAAAATTTAGATTTCGTATATTTTTAGTCAAAAAGCGTCAAGTGTGAAAAATTATTATAATATGAAAACCTTTAAATGAAAATTTTAAAGTTGAGCTGTGGGTCTATGACCAGCTACGTCCAAAAGCTATTTAATTGCGTAATCGCTTTCAAACCCTCTGCATTCTCTCCTCTTAAATAAGCTATGCAATAAGAATTTATATTTTTTCCCATGAAGGTTGGCTTTCATCTAATGCATATCTGAACTTCGTTAATTTGTACATAATAATAGCAAAATATTAAATAAAATTAATAACTAAAATGCATATGATTTCAATTTTATCTATTAATGATTTGGATCTTAAGACTAGCTTTCCAAAAAGTTATACGGAAGTTACTATTATTTTTCACTCACCTGTTATTTTATGTTTTCGATCTTTACTCCTCGTTTCCGTTTTCCAACCAGAATGTAAATGATGTAAAAAAAGATAGTATTTAAAGGAAAGTTTTAGATTGCTTAGATACAGCGTATTCTGTCTGATAAAGGCCACGTTACTAGTGCCTTCTGTTTTACATTTTGAGTTTAATAAAAGGGTCTTTTACACCCTTCGTTAGTGTCTGTAATACTTTCTCCAAGACTTAACGATAAGTCATTACCTAGTCTCAGTTAAGAGTTTAGTTAGTGTGCATGTTTTCCCTTTACTTTTAATTACTCTGTGCAATGTAAAATAAGATTTGACCTCTTCTACAATATGGGATTTTGGGATTTATTGGAACTACACTTCTGCTTAAAAAGTAAGCATCAAACGCTTAAAGAAAAGGTGAGAATGTAAAAAGAGAAATTAAAACATACAGTTTACATATGAGGTAGAGGTCTCTGAATGCAAATAGGCAACCAAATCAGCATAAGACTCAATCCTGCAGTCACACCTCAACGCCTTATAAAAAAACAGGCATGCCGGATATACGCATCAGTTCGCAAACACCTGTATTTCCGTGTAATTAGAGATAGCCAAAGCGGCTAGCATGAGCCGATGACATCTTTGCATGATAAAATGCGTTGGACGGCTCTGCACAAGCTGGAGCAGGACAATCTGCTGTTGCGAAAAAGTTGCACGTAATCGTTACCAAAGGGATCAAAATTCCTGTAGAAGACGTGGGTCTGGACGCCGAAGGATTAGCACAACGGGGCACAGACGATCGCTTTCTGTTGCTATGTGCAAGATGCCGTAGATCATTAACAGTACGACAGCTGGCGTCACTTTTCTCTGCTGCTGCAGGATGGCCCATATCCCACCAAACCGTGTCGCGTCGACTGAATGAAGGTGAACTGGACGTGCGAAGAGTTGTGGTTTGTATTCCTTGGTCCCCATCGTATGTTATAGCGGGGTTGAACTGTGCTCGTTAACATCGCAGTTGGGAACCAGAGCAGAGGGGCCACGTACTCTTTACGGATGAGTCTCGATTTGACATCCAGAATAATTCCTGAAGGACAATGATATGGCAAGAGCCAAGGACACGTTATCAGGAGCCAACTATCGCCGAAAGAGACTATTATAGAGGATTAAGCTTACTTCTATGAGCTAGGATAGCAACGAACGGCAGCACCTACATCTACGTGATTCTTGTGGTACCGTCACAGCGCCCGTTATCGCTACGAAATTCTACACCCTCTTGTGCTTCCTGTTATTGCTGCAGTGATACCGACGCGATATCTATGGACGATAACGCCTAGCCGCATAGAGCTCGAGTGATGCAGAGTTAACTGGTTAAGTGAAACCATTCGGCGTTTGCCATGGTCTGCTAAATCACTAAGCCTGAATCCTATACAGCATGTGTCAGACATGTTGGGACGATGGCTAGCTGGTCGTAGTGCACTCTCCACGAGCTCCGACATGCATTAATACATGAATAGGCCCTACTGACATAAAAGGATCAACGACATTATGGCCATCTTGCTTTGCCGTTGTCAAACATGCCATGCATTTCAGCTGGAAGGTATCATACTCGTTATTAGCGTGATGTTTCCATTGCACAGTCTTCCGACCTTATGATCTTTCACGATGCGATAGTCGTAATGCATGTGTTTTTGTATATCTTTGCTTTATTTTTGCTATGAGGTCTAGTAATAGCACACTAACCTCTTGGATCAATTTCACGCCTATGCATTAAATAATTTTTGTTTTACTCCGTGTTTTGCCTTTGTTGCTTTTTTGAACAGGAGTGTTTTTTGAACAGAAGTGTTCTTTAACATCATTGGAAATCATTTTTAACACAATGAATACAACTTCGCATTAATTCTTCATTAACTTCAAGTCGAAGTTTATTATCATTGGTGAAAATAGAAGTCTTATGACATCAGACAAGGTGAAACTAAAATTGATGTTCCAATTTTTTTTTTAAATTTCCTAAGAAATCAGCCTTATAAAATTAAATATAAAATAGTTAAAAGCAGATCAAGAGCTTTTTTCCTAAAAATAACCTTTAAGCAAGTTATAAGGTATTTCTCCCACCTTCCTAGCGTGCCTTCGTGGTTATAGTGGTTCTGCACGCTTTGCCGGCCTTCTAGGGGTCCGTGGTTCGATTCAAGGCGAAGGCGGTTGCTCATTTTTCATCTCTTCTGCTTTCAAAAATACCTAATGTCTTTACAGTGGCGCCCGAACTAAAAGGGTTGTGGATGATGACTCTCCACACCCAGAATTTGACGATTGAGTCCCCTTAAATAACCAGTCGCCCTTTAAAAGGGGAATTTATCACGCCTTCCTAGCGTGCCTTCCTGCTATAGTGGTTCTGCACGCTGGACCGGTATTCCAGAGGTCCGTGGTTCAATTTCCGGCGAAGGCGGTTGCTCCTTTTTCATCTTTCCGGGTTTTCCAATTAACCTAATGTCTCTACAAAGTAATTTACCTTATTTTTATTTACTTTTAGTTAAATTTTAAAACAATCAAGGTTTTATATAATAGTTTGTAATTATCTCTACTTTGATTCCAAGTGATGTGGGGTCATTGGGCAAAATGTTAACGTACACTTATATTTCAAATATAATCAAAAAGAGAGTTTGTAGTATTTTGAATTTCGGGAAAGTAGCCTCCTTTACTTTTTGCAAATAACGAAAGTCAGGTGTAATAAATAGCTGTGGGATTACTGTAAAAAATATTTGAATCCAAATTTAATCAAGAAACGCAGCGATTTTAAAGAAATGTGTTGTCACTTAGGGAAAAAAAGAAGATACTTTACTATCAAACTTAATCCACAAAATCTGTGATTTAAAAGAAATGTGTTGTCACTGCTCGAAATAACGTAATTTTTTCCCCAAATGACAGTGTGTTGCCATTCGACAAAACGTAATATATTTAATTTTCGTTTCAGATTCAATCTGTCTATTACTGATTAATAAACTAAGCATTTTAAAAGAAATAAACGCAAAATAGAAGATTCAAGAAATTACACATGTTCTTCAAGTCAACAAATCTATTTTATTTATGCTGTTTTCTTCAAAATAAATATCATATTTTTTAATTTTGCTACAGGATCATTTGACATGAGAAGCGAACTCGGATCCTTAAAATTAAAAGAATATCTTCGTATCCTGAAGATGCCAGCAGGTGCCATGGTATTAGTTTGTGTTACTCTCAACGTCACAGCAGACGCTTTCATTCTTATTGCCCTGAGTGAACATCTTTCCCAGGTATTATACCTTTAAATGAAAAAAAAATATATTCTTATACCCAATTTCCCATATCCCTTTATAAATTCCAAACAGTAACTTTATGGACTTTCTTGTAGACTTCTTTCTTGTGTTTAACGGACTCTTCTCGTAGACAACGAAAAATTAATGAATAACGCAGATTAAAAAAAAATGGATTTTGACTACTGAAATTGCTGACAATTTTTATTTTTATAGTAGTACATGTTCTTGCTAGTAAATATTCAGTTTGTACGTTGTTACTGCTTCATTTGAGGACTCTAGAACCGGAACTTATGTTACCATTTAATATGGTATAAAATCTTTAATTTACTTTTAAATTATAATTGTAGCAGATTCAGAATGAATAGACTAATAGTAATATCCATATTTCTTAAAAATTTATACCCTTTAATTTTAATAAAATATCTAATTGATGTAATTTGAAATAACATTTCACAGACATTTCATGGAGCCTTTTTAAGAAGATATCTACAGTTTCAGAAGATTTTGAAATTCTGGGAAATAGTCAGCTTATATTCTGTATAAGTTATCACCGTTGATCGTGTGTTCTAAAGGGTGTCCCAAAATTCACGCAACATTTGAATTTTGCTCCATTTATGCTATAAAGTGTTGCCAACGAAAAAAAAAAAGTCTTGACAGCTATATAAAAATTTATTCCGAATAAACAATTAAACACAATTTCAATCTTTAGAACAACCATTTTTCCTATTTATTTTTAACAACAACAACGGTAAAGAAAAAACTGGTAACCATGGCAACACTTTGCGACTGCGCAGATAGTCTCGCACACGATTTTCACAGACGATATGTTAACGTCGCAGAACAAATACAAAAATATTAAACAACAGCCAACAGTTCAGGGTTGTTAAAAATGGAGTTCTACACGAAAGAACAACGTGTTTTCGCTGCTGAGCATTATTTTTTTTAAATAATGAAGGTTTGCCAGCTACAGTTCGTAATTTTCATACAAAGTATGGTTGGAATAGTGTTACATTTCTTCAACAGTGAAGAGATTAATTAAAATTTTTAGAGAGACTGGATCACTTAATGATCTTAAACACTCTGTTCCCTTTCAAAATATAGCGATACAGCGAATTGTAACAAAATCGATTACAGCTCCTAGCCAGACGCCGTGTAGCCGGTAGTACCACTAACTTGAAATCACCGTTAACTGCGATTTCTTTGGTGTCAAGCTAGAGCTCAATGGAGGACAGAACTGGTATGTTCTTAGATGACAACCGTTTTAATTTTTATGCCAGAAATGGCCGTATATTGGTTAGTAGGAGGCCAGGTGAGCATTTGAATCGAAACTGCTTGCAGCATAGACACGTTGGACCTAGACCAAGAGTTATGGTCTGGGAAGCAATTTCTTATGACAGCAGGAGCACTCTCATCGTTATTCCACACACCTTGATGGCAAACCTGAGAGTGTCGACATGTTGTCTTGACTCCCCCCCCCAGGGATTAGGTTGGTTCAGGCTTGGCAGGGAACGTACTGATACTGTCGTGTCTGTTCCTCTGCCTGTGGTGGAGCTATGTCGTATGTAGATCTTTCGATGGGGTTTGGCCCTCAGAGTTCCAATGACGGGGCTTGACAGAGTAAAGCAAGGCACCGAGAACGAATCTATTTGATGCTGAGGGAATGGCGCCCCAAGGCAAAGATGATTAAGCGACCCCTTTTTGTATTAAGTTTCTTCGTTTTCGTTCTTGCTGAGGCTATGTATAAAGCCGGGCAGGGACTGTGGGGTCTGCGCCACCGTTGAGGGATCTCTGGAGTTTGGATATTCCAACTCCGATAAGGCTTCTTCCAGGACGGCGATACATCTCTAGTGCCCATGTTGTCTTGACATGCGAGATCCCCCCGATCTTTCTCCCATCAAGCACGTATGGGACATAATTGGACGATAAATCCAGCGTCATCCAGAACCACAGACTTCTGCTGATTTGTCTGACCAAACGCAACAGGCATATAACTCCATCCCACAAAATGATGTAGAACACATCTATGACACAAGCCATGCTCATTTGCATGTTTGCGTTCAACATCGTGGCGACTACAGTTATTAATGTCCCAGCATTTCCCATTTGAAATAGCCTTTTTTTCGCGTGCGACCTGTGACTTTGAAAAATCAATCAAATATGTAACACAGACAGATTTTTCGCCTACATTTCATACCTCTAAACTGATTTCTTTTTAGTGTTAAGATTTCATTTTCTATCAGTGTATTTGAAAAATTGATTGTTCTTTACTTAAAGCTGCGTAATGAGGTGCTAAAAAGTATCGCCGGCTTTCCTTTCTTAGATATTTAGATCGCAAATGTATTTATTCCTCGTAAAACGAAAATAAGCCATTGTAACTAACGAATACGTATATGAAAGTTAAATAATTCACCATACGTATGCAAAAGAAAAGTAAAAAGACTAGAAGCTTACCTTTAAATTTAAAAAAAGTAACAAAAATTTTATAAAATATGAAAAGAGTGAAAGCCACTTAACCGGTATTAGTTTTAAAAGATAAGTGTTACATAAAGCGAATTTTTTCAAAAATGGAACTCTGAAATGAGTTGCATATAAATGTTAATAGTGTGTTTGTAGTAAAAATGTTGGTATGTTGTATTTCATTTATCAGGTTATTCACCTGAATTTTATGAATATTATTTTTATATTGTTATTTTATTTTATGCATTTATTTTTCAGTTTCAGTTAACTCCTATGATTGTGGGTTCAATATATTTGTGCTTATTCCTATCATATGGATTAAGTTCACCACTTGCAGGAAAAATCGGTGATAAGATGGTATACATTTATTTTCGCTAATTGCATATATCTATAAAATATCTTAAACTTTATAATTCTGTAAGATATTGTTTTATAACCTACTGCAGTCTACGTTTTATATGAATGCTGGTCTTTAAAAATTAAGAAACGCTTTTGAAAATATAATTTGTATAATTCATTTCAAATAATTAGCAGAAAACAAATGTAATGCGATAAATTAAAAAAAAAAAAAGTATCAGACGCTTTTTGATAATCGTTACAATGAAAAAAAAATATATATATAGAAGAAAAACCTTCAAATTCAAATCTTTAGTTTCAATTTGAAATACATATAGGGGGGAAAACATGTAAATCTGCAATCCTAAATTAGTCCTAAAACTATATCTTATATTAATGGTGGTTTGATTTAAGACTATATCTTACATTAATGGTGGTTTGTGTGTATACTTTTGGCGGGAGATTAAAAACAATTCACGTTCATGGCCGAAAATACTGCTGCGTAGATGATTGGAAACTGCGACGTAGTGGAGTGATCCGAATGGAATTTTAGAAGAAGCACGACCACCTTAATAATTAAACATAATTTATTTTTGGATGACGAATTTCTTAGCACATATCTTTATAACTGGTAGAAGATTGTGCTAAACGCATTCCATAAATTTAAATATGCAATTACATTTTAAATAATAGCGAATAGCTAGCAGAAGCTGAGCGTCACACTGTCAGCAGGCAGAAGAGGCGAAAGAGAGATGGACTACGCAGTTCTAGATTAGGTGGATAAGTACGGCTAATCTGTGGTTGGTTAATTTTGGGTTTTAGTTCCCTTTTTTCGAGCAGCGTTATGTAACATGCAAAGATCTCGATTTGAGAGAACAGATGAATTTAGGGGGAGAACATAAAATCTAGAATAGTTAATTTTGAGTTGGCCAATCTTTTTTTAAAGCAGCCATCGTATTTTGTTATATCTTACACACACATGTAATCAAACCACCATTTATTTAAGATTTAGTTTTATCTACACTGGTGAAATAAATTAAGAAAATTTGCATATTTTATCGAATTACATGAAAAGAACTGAACTGAAGGAAAAACCACTATTTTTAGATAAAAATGCAAATTTTGTACGGCAAATACGTAAGCATACACGTGTGTGTAGACGGAGCCAGCAGAAAAACAGGCTTTATAAGCGCGTGGAGGGTATAACGAATTGCGATCGCTAGCACACCTCGGCGAATTTCTTGGTGTTATCTTGTAGCAATCGGTTAAGTTCACATCGAAACAGTAAGAATGAGTACCCATAAACGCTTAGATGATGGAATAAGGTGGTGAATTGTGGGAAAGCTAGAGGCAGGTCAGTCGCAAGTCCAGATATGCAGAGGGTTCAATTTAACGCACAGCGTCGTGTGTAACCTATGAAAACAGATCCAGGATACTGGATACATCGAGAGAAAGCCTGGCAAAGGTCGTCCAAGAGCCACGATGCCAGAGGAGATCGCTATTTGTCCATTTTAGTAAGGCACAACAGAGGGGCTACAGCTTCTCAGCTCTCTCGTGACCTGTATGCAGCCACAGGAACCCGTGTAACAAACAAGGGTACTTTTGCAAAGACTGAAGAATAGGTTTTTGCCAGAAACCGGCTGTTGGCGTCTCGCTCATGTCGAACGGACAGAGAGTCCATTAGCATGGTGCGGGCACAGTGATGTACGTAAGGGCATGGGCGACCGTTCTGTTCATCGACGTTCCGTTTAGCCTAAACACCGATTCTCGCCGTACTTCACATGTAGATAGCCATGACCCATACCACCACCTCCATGTCCGCGAAAACCAACAATTATGCGTGCGGTGCAATGGTCTGGGCAGCATCTTTTGATGGCGCAACACCTCCTCAGTCTTTGCCAGAGGCTCTGTGACTGTGTGAGGTATAGGGCTGAGTTTTGAGTCCTTTTCGCCTTTTCGGGTGCAGTAGGCGCCGATCATCTTACAGGACGATACGCGAGGCACATAGAGCTCCTCTGGTCGACTATTGCCGCGAGAGTGGGATATTCCTGATGGATTCCCAGCCTGTCACCAGACCTCAAGCTATAGAGCTGTCTGGGAGCTCTGGGAGGCATTTTTTGATACTCTAACTCCCCCCGATAACAACCCATGACTGAAAACGCTTTCTGATGAGTGGGACCCTTGCTACTGGTAGATAACTGCTTTTTCCAGACATCACTTGTGAGGCCTGTATGGCTTTAAGAGGGACCATACCCTATTAACCCATCTTTTGTGTCCTTCTTCGCAACGCTGTTTAGACCTTCAACCCTAGAGTGTTACACACGAACATGTGTGTCCTATTATATTGTTGAATGTTTTTGTTTGTATTATATCAACCATGTCACCCACCAAATTTTATTAAATCTGCCAGTAGTTCTGAATCGTAGACCAAATGAAACTCCTTAATTTCTTGCAGATGTCTTTTAAAAGTACTGCAATGCTTTAATTAAATTACTGATTGAGTACATCCGTTTTTTTATCTCAATTGTTTCTTTTTGAATAGAATAATATTTTTCGATAAAAAATTATGTAGTAATACTATAAATTTATTAAATAAATATGGAACTGAAAACAGCGTTGCTCTGAATAGTGGGACACTTGTCTTAGTGGCAGATAAACTGCCTGATTTCCATTAGACATACGTTTTGAGCCTGTTGTCCCTGTAATGGTACCATACCCCTATTAACCCTTTCTTTGTGTCTCTGCAACCGCTGTTTCGTCCTTCAGACCCTATAGTGTTACACACGACATGTGTGTCTTTATAAGTGTTTAATTTTATTTTGTTTGTATTATATCAACCTATGTTCACACCAAATTTTATTAAAATCTGCCCAGTAGTTCTGGAGATCGTAGACCAAATATGAAAACTCCCTTAATTTCTTTGCAGAGTGTACTTTTAAAGTACTGGCAATAGCTTTTATTAAAGTATACTGATTGAGTACATCCGTTTTTTTATCTACAATTGTTCTTTTTGAATAAGAAATAAATATTTTCCGATAAAAAATATATATAGTAAATACATATAAATTTATTAAAATATTGTTTCAATTAGTCTCTTTAATTAAAGAGAGCAAAGCAAGTAATGTCTAACTGCCTAAGAGAGTGATACTTCCGTTCGGAACTTTTTAATGTAAACTGGATTGTGTATGTAGGCTTGACGCTGGGAAAAGATGCATGTAACGAGCTCGGTGTTTGAAAGGCTTTCAACAGGAAAGAATCAGTGGTTCAGCGGTCATTAGCTGCCACTCCAATAACACAGTGATAACTTATGCAAATATTTTGTCTTCAAAAAAAGCATTAGATATTATAAACTGCAGTAGTGTGTTAATTTTTTTTAACATTCTTATTTTCTAATTATATTTTTCTTTCTTACCATGTCTCTAATAACGTATTGACCAAATATAAAGTATAAAATTAGCAAAGCAACAACTTTGTGCTTGTCTTTAGATGTAGATGTTGTTTGTTGTAGATTTAGTCACGAACTCAATGAAAACAGGTATATGTCATTCTTCATCAGGAGCAAAGAAATGCAGAAGAGCAGTTTGCTCCTGAGGAAGAAGGACTTGTACCTGCTGGACCTTGAAATCGATTGAGTTCTTAAGAAAATCTATGCAAAACACAGATTGTTGCTTTGCTAATTTTATGTTTCACTTTAACGTGTTTCTCTTCTGTTATAAACATAAAACAATGTTATTAAATGAAAAGTTAATAAATGAAAAGTTCTCTTTCTATCCCTTTAATGTTCGAAGTACTTCAAATTTTTTAGTTTGGTACTTTTGATTTTAAATCCAAAGATAAACCAGAAGAAAGGAGCTTTAGCTATATGCATGGTTTTCCACTAATATTTTCAGAATATAAAGCATTCTATTCCTTATCTTTCGTCAGATCTTTCGCCATTATTTAATATGTTAGAATATTCTGTATGATACAGTAACACTATTCTTTTTATAATAAACACAAGAAAACAATTTGAAACTGAATTTGAATATGCTCTTAATCAAATCTATGAAAAGAGGAAAATTGAGCATGGCTGAATTCGAAGGGACATCTCTCAGTTAATCCACACAGTTTATTCATACTTTTTTTTAAAATAACCGCGTTCCCATTCAGGATAGAAAGAAGAGGCTCTGATGGCATGTATATATCTTGTAACCCTCTGTCGGATTGTGATGGCTGTCTTGAAGACTATTTTCGCAAACCTGTGCATGGTCGGGGAGATCCAATCATTACGTTTTAAATTAGATAGTAAGAGAACATAGTTAAACATGAGAAATCAGACATGAGAATTGTTACGTTGTAGCAATGCTTGGAATTTTCATTATTTCAGAACAGAAAATACTGCTACGTTACCTGTGAAGCATCATATAATTACGTTGAATCTGAGGACAGGAACAACGCTACGTTATTTAGAAAACATGTAAAAAAAAAAAAAAAAAAAAAAAAAAAAAAAAAAAAACCTGATGTGTACACTACATGACTTCCTTAATGACATGGAATATTAAATTACACGCATTTTTTCATGCATTTCATTTAGACTTATTGAATTGAATTAAATCTACTTCTTCCTCGATAGCGCGCGCTGTTTAAAATTCACTATATTTACTTACCATAGCGATACTCTAGCGTTAAGTTCATTTAACAGCGTACATCACATTCATTTTATAACTCAGAATGAACAATTAGCTAATCGTTGCCACATGTTCTATTCAAATATAATAAATCTAAAACGATGCATAAAAGAAATTAAACAAATAAAATATGAACAGTTTTTCACAGACGATTTAGCGCTGCTTACCTAATGCCCATGCGCTACTCTTAAACATTCTGCTCCGTCCGAAACAGACTGGAGACAGTATTTTCTATTAATATGAAACACTTATTTTTTCGAATTTCATTAGAAATATATTTCTCATTCAATCAATTCCGTTACTTCGCGGCAAAGCAAAAATAATAAAAGCTCAAAAGTTAACTTGCCTATATTTAAGTGAAGTTTAAAATTTTTAGACTGAGAGTATTCTGCCTGCTGAAGGCTATGTTGTTAGCTGCTATTATCCTTGTCTATGGAATTGCTTTATTCTTGCCGATAGTTCTGTTACCGCGGTGCAGACTTAAGAGCCAATTTCCGCTTTTAAATTGCTCTGTGTAGCTTTTGGTTAATAAATACTTCGATTTAGTTTCATTTTTAAAATCTGCTTTTGGGTTTACGCCATAAATGATGGCAGATTTGTAAATATTAGGCGTGCCTCCTGTTCATCTTACTTAGTTTTAAATAAAATGGTCTTTTGCACCCTTCTTAAGTTCTGTATTATCTTAGACATAGCAGTAAGTTCCTTGCCCGTCTATTGAAGGATGTGCCACAAGTTACATTTAGTTACAAGCAAATAGACTAGAAGAGAAACACGCTAATGTGACAATCAAAATCGTAAAAACAACCTTGTATTTATCGTAAGTATATTGAAACGAGTGTTTCAATATACTTACGCTAAATACAAGGTTGTCTTTACGATTTTGATTACAAGCAAATACTCTACAAAATTCTTGTCCATAATTTTGTTTTAAGTTTAAATTGCTTTACCTACGCTGTTATTAATTTTAGAAATACTACATAAATCAAACACTGAATTAAAACGGATTATTTAATACTTTTATTTATAGCAGACAAACTGCCAACTAAAGCTATTTAATTACAGATTTGTTGAAATGAGTAATATCTCTTTATCTACAGGGTGGTGAATTTCTGCTGGAAAGTGGTGGTTGCTTAATCATGGCTTTGTCCTTCATTTTCATCGGACCTGGATCATTTCTTGAAATGAAACCGTAAGTAATAATTCTCGCCGTCCCGCATAAAAAATTACTAAGTTTAAAAATCTTTCATTAAATAAGCACTTACAAAGTCCACAGTTATGTTCCGATGCATATAGGTCTTTTTCTCTTGAATTTATCGTATTCCTTCCATTTGGAGATGCTGTCAGTTGCGAGACATAACCTTTAACATTTCTACCAGCAGCCCGGCCATTAAATAGTTTTGCAAACTTTACCAAGAACCTGCTTGTTTTATACAGATTTTAACGAAAATCAAATAAATAAAATAAAATGCTAAAATATACCTAATAAAGACTTTTGCTATAATGTAATAACATTTATAAAAATAGCACCTATTTATCAATAATTTTATTATTTATTACTTTTTTCGAATTATTATCAGAACCACGAGAACCGCAGATTATCAGAACCTTAAGCAATATTAGTCTAATCCACATTACAATTACCATGATACTTCTAAGCCGTCAAGTTATGACTGCAAATTTTCTTAGAACGTTGCGTAGTTCTTTATAGGATTAGTTTCCAAAATTCTGAAACTCATTCTACAAATTTTAGTACCAGCACCTTCGAAATTATTAAGAACGTGTACTGGATATGTTACCTATCAAGAGCCAGTATTCACATCCTTGCTATTTAAGCGATATGAAGGTTATTCTTAAACGGTGTGTTGATGAAACGGCGAAGGTAGTAATTTATTATCCATTCCACTATCAAGTCATTAAGTGCCGCCCAGACATTATAGTGGTTAGGGAAGCCTACTGTTTTACTGAAGTGCCTGGGTTTGAATCCCGGAGAAGACATGGAAGTTTATAAATGTATAGTGTCTGCGCGACATGGGGGCACTCTAAGTATGCGGCGAGTCGAAAGTCCTCTCGAGAGGTTAATGGTGGGGTGAAGAGTGATGATAGACCCTCGGACCAATCCCCTCGGGTTGCTCTCCTTTGAAATGGGGGTGGAAATAAGCGAGGTCGTACTGCCACCTGGATGGTGCTCAAGGCTTTTGCCAACGACACGTGCAGTCTTTCTCTCCTTGCCACGATGAATTTCGTGGACTTGTTCTGATATCACTGTCAGGCAAGTGAGATAAGTCACAATACAATAACAACAGGTTAACAAAGCCTTAAAATTTAGAGTTAAAAAACATGATGCATAGGTTAGAAAAAAGGAAACACAGAAGTCTTCTGTTGCCTAACATTGTTGGTCCGAAAATCGCACTTTCAATTTTTTAGCTGCCAAAATTATTCAAAAAACATCTCCATTGGTGAACTGGTTTCTAGAGGCATTTCACTGAACAAAATATTTCTATCTAGTTAACGATCCTATTCCAATTCATCTTTGCCTCAGCCTGTAAAGAAATTATGTTTTAATTTTGGTTTTCACATCAACAGATGTCGCCAGTAGCTTATCTCCTCCTGGTCCCCGGCTTTGCTGTCTTATCTAATCATTATAATCTTTACCTCGTCATTTACGCTTTTGCAGCTGAGGATGATGGTTCGGTAAAACCATCGAAACTAGTCCTGTGAAAATTTGAAAATATAACGCTGATTTTTTGTTGTTTGGCTTCTAAGGTAATACAATAACAACAGTCAGTTTATGTACGATTTTATTTTTGGTTTATTCGGACAGATGTTTACAAAGACATGCACCAAATATTAGGTAATTTACGAAACGTTTCAATGTTCTCTTCCGCATAATATTTAGCTAATCAACCGTCCTGTTATTTATCCTAAGTAATGTTGGCATGCATACCAGTTTCCTCAACGTAAAATAGCAATAATGCTTTTACAAAAAATTCCATATTTTGCTAAGAATTTTCGTTTAAAATTAAATACTGTGCCAGCTGCGATGACCTGCATCATCGCCGATGGTCCTACACGTCGATGATGCAGGTCATCGCAGTGATAGGTTATTTTCGTAACCCCTGCTTATAATCTTGATTTCTTTAGCGCTTTTAGCGTTGACGGCGTAATTTTAAAAATATCGAAAAGGGTTCAGTTAGTTACATTAGCATTGTTTTAATTTGCGTAAACCAAAAGTTTTTTCTTCTCCTTAATATCGCTTAAATTTACTACGCTAAAAATCGCTTAAATTACTTCTGCTGCAAGTCTCAGAATGTTACTGATCCACAGATGGTTAGTTACTTAAAGATAATCCCATGCAAAGCATAGAAAAATAATAAAAAACTTAAACTTAAAATTAATTTAAAATCTAATATTCCATCAAATGTTAACCATAAGACTCCATGGCACATTTTGGTTTTAGAGATATTTAAAATGTAAAACAATGATCACCAGAGAATTATCTTATTTCCCGAAGAAATAAGATAATTCTAAGTACTTTAAAAAATACCGAATAGACGGGTGTAGGAATTAAAGATGAAGTAGAGAAACTGCTATGTAAAAATTAAAAGATTAGGAGGCAGAAGAGTGTAAGACCAATCAGAACATCCCTCAATGTCTGGTAGGTTTGGTTTGGTTTATTTAATTATGGCAAAACACACTTGGGCTATCTGCCTAAGGGAAGGAACACCTTCGTGGAGGACTGTCTAAGGCAAACACGTTACACATGGGGAAAACCATGAAAACGCCCATGCAGACAGCCCATTTGCGGAATTCGAACCTCGGACCGAACTACCAGTGTTCAGTGACTTTACCGCTCGCCCGTTTGTGGGCCCCAATGCCTGGTAGAGACATGAGCATATATGGAGCATGTATAATGTAGGCGTGTGAAAAGATCTAAGCAAGCACGAGAGCTCTAGTGCCAGGCCCGGCATTAGAGCCGATACAATCAGTGTGGTTGCCCCGGGCGGTGGAATTTATTAGCAGAGAAACATCTAGAATTTTTCCCGTTGAAGCGCCAGGGAGAAAACCATAAAAAAGCATAGCGAGGAGGCACCGGGTTACATAATTTACGAGTAGTAGAGATTGCAGACAGTCTCATATATTACAGCTAGACGAAAAAAAGTAGCTTAATTTTTTGTTCAAATAAACACAAGTTATCTGAAAACAGTTAAAACATAAACACATTTTATAAAGTTTGTCTTATTCTAACATACTATATTCAAATGAAACAAATTACACATTTCCTTATTTTATTTATCACATAAATTGCTTAATATAGTATTCTACTGAATGCAAAAATTTTGTAGCTTATTTCACTGAGAGTGATGGCTCTTTTGTTATGGTAAAACACGAGAGAACAGTCCGTAAGGTGAGAACCGAACTGCCAGTGTCTCGGCAACTGTTGGGTTTACGTAGAGCGATAAATACAGGGTCTGCCAGTGAATCGGGAAATTTGAAATAGCCAACTTTTTTATGAAACATTTATTGTCAGAATTATTTTACAGATTTGATTTGAGTAAAGTATGTCATTTTACTTTTGAAAAATAAAGCCGTTCAAGTAAGAGTCATTTCTGTATACACATTTTTAACATTACCATCACTCGACGAAACAGGGGACAGATTGAATCCGTGAATTTATTGTCTGATATTCTTTTTAATTCTGGTTTGGTTTGCGGTCTATCGATGAACGCACTGCTCTTCAGAAACCTCAGAAGAAAGTCACATGCTGTCAAATCTGGAGATCTTGTAGGCCAAGGGATATCACCATGTTTCAATATTAGTCCGTCGGGGAAGAGTACTCTTAAAGTAGACATGGGCACATGAGTAGTAGTATGACTTGTACCCCCATCCTGCTACAAAAAGCTAATTTCTGGAAACCTAGGATTGATGGTTTAGTTCATTATGGCAAAGCACCACACTAGGACTATCTGCCTAAGCGGAATGGTACTTTAGTGGAAGACTTTCTAAGGGAAACTAGCTCGTATACATGTTACACATGGCGGAATCCGCGAAAAAGCCCATACAGCCAGCCAGTTCATCTGTAAACGAACCCATGTCGAAACTATCAGTGTTCAGCGATTTTACTGCTTGGCCACTGGTGAACGGAAATCTAGGGAACTATTGCATCAGAAAATGTTTTGAACAAGCATGTGTAGTGAGCTGTAGCTCGGGCATTTCCTCTATCGTTTTAAAAAATTTTTCGGACTGTGTAATGGCTTTTCATACATTTCATCTGAGTTTTCATTGTTCCAGTATCGACTAAAGTCACACAGTCACTATTTTTATGAAACGAATTTGCGTAAAAAGCACGCTGTAACATCGGACCATTCATTCGTGTTTAATAAATGGCATTAAATGTCAAACAAAAATCCAAACCTTCATACATTGCCTGTAACATAGATTTCAAATTTCAACGTTTCTACCGCTATATCATGTTATTTTTTATCTTAAAATTAATTTTTAAACTGTGTGCTTTGAGATGTTTTTTTTTTGCGATGGAAAAAACTGCAGTAAATGTTTTACCATAATGCAGTATTTTGCCATAAAATCTTTAAACAGAATAATTGCTTTGAATCTATTCTTTAAAGTGGTTACCACGAAATTTCCACCAGTATAAAAGAAACAAAAACCGTTTTTATTGATTGATTTTCGAAATTAATACAATCAAAACGTTAAATATATATGTACATAGTAAATAATTTTTGCAAATTTTACTATTTTTTCCTGTAAAAATATAGCCAGACTACGTCAGTTGGTTGTGTTAATATGTTAAGTACCATGTATTTCCTCCCTAATGCCTAATTATTCAGTGCATATTTATAAATTAACCGCTTAATACTGTTTTGCAGGAAAGTTGGACTGATTGTAGCAGGCCTGCTTTTGAAAGGACTTGGTGCTGGTCCTCTCATTTCCTGTTCCTATTCTGCCGCACTCAAAGCAGCAAAGTAATTGTTTTTTACTATATCTGTTCATTACAGTCTTTAAAAAATATTCATATTCATGTTTATTACCATATTGCTTTTATAATATAATAATGATGATTCTATTTTGTTAATATCTACACAACTGATATTCAAGAAAACAAAACCTGACACTAAAATCATATTTCTTTTATTACTTAAACTGAAATTCAGAAAAATCACTTCAGATGTTGAGCTTTCACGATAGGAATTTCCAAACTTTCTTGCATAACGTTACATACAATTCATAATCATTTTCGTAATTTGCAAAATCAGCCTAATTTTATATTTTACTTTGGCATGTTTTTCTGTTTTCTTAATTTTTCCTAACAACCGGCATTTCCGAGAAAGTTCAATTAGTCTGGATCATTTGCTCACTTGCGCCATTTTATTTTTTAGATCGCCATTCCCCGTGATTGTTGGATTTTGTCATTTTCGAAAGCTGATGAGTTTCTCTTTTGGTTTATATTTTTCTCCGATTATATTTTCTTGGGCAAATTTATTAATTTTTGTTTTAAATAGTAGTGTTTTTCGTTCTGTAGTGTATTGTTTTCTTCAGTTTTTCGTTTTAACAATTTTTTTATTTTACATTATTTCAACCGTCTCGCTCTTTCTCTTTTATATATATTTTTGTGTTTACCACTATTTCATGATTGCTTCTCTTTCGGAATATGTCAACAGACAGGAAAGGATTTTGTAAGTTACACATTACGCGTATGGAATTTTTGAACATCAGATTATCATTCCCAATTTTATACAAGTCAAATGTAATCTTAAATCTTCTGTTTACGTTTCAAAAGTTATGCATAAATTGAAATTGTCACTTCTTCGTTATATTATAAGAAACACACGCAAACATTTGCCTAAAAGTGAATATGAATTATATTACCTTCATTTAAAAATTCGCAATTCTACTTTAAATTTGTCATCCTTGTTCCCAAATCTTGGTCTAGAACCAAAGCTGCTTATCAGCGCCATAAAAAAGTCCTTGTTTTTAAATTCCAAAAGCTCACACCCCAGTCGTCTAGTTATTTACAAAATAACTAATCCCATTGTTAATATCTCTAATGTAAATCTTTCGAAAGAACAGATGAAAATATTAAAATGTAACATGAACACTTTTCCTTCAGTTCCTCAAATCATAGCTTCAACTGAAAAAACTTTTAAATTCTCTAAAATTTCAGAAACACAAAAAGATACAATACGCCATCAAATTTTTCATAAGGTGAATTTTAATAACCAATCGTTCCCATCGAATCTTAACCAAAAGGAAAGAAAGGCCTTATGTGAAATTCATTCAGATCCTAACATTATATAACTTCTAAAGCTGATAAGGGTAAACATATTGTTGAGATGGACACACATTGTTGGAGTTGCGGAACTGATAAACAAAAGCCCATTCTGGTCGATCCCTGAAGATCCTTCAGCTTCTGACCTCACAAAAGTTAATACAGCTGTTAAATCTTCTCATATACCCCCAACTCAGTTTAAAAAGTCACTCATTCCACATATTGCTAACTATGCAAGGTTTTGTGTTCTTTCCGACCTATAGTTTTTAACTTAGGAAGGCATCACATCATTTGGCCAAATATTTAGTTTCTATATTTTCTCCTTTACTTTCTAACAATACTCACACTAAACAATTCTTTTGAAGTTGTTGATAAACTTAAAGATATTTCATCCTGCACTCTGTTAGGGTTTCTTTTGATGTTAACTCTTTGAGGGGCAGGAAATGGCAATTAACATTTTCAGTAAGACTCTTGTTTTATTTACTATATCAGGTGTTACAATGAAATTATTTGCGACAATTACGCATATTTTGTTCAAGGCGCGTGGAAAAAAAATGACCACTTCTGGTGGTTAGTGTCAGTGAGCATCGCCCACAGAACACATCCCTACAAATTAGTCTGTACGGTACCCATGGAAACAGTTTTTCTTTTTCAAGCAGAGTGCAACTTAGCATGAGCTGCATTCCCACACTGTTCTTACAGGCCTTTTCTTGGTGCTGCAGATTGCACATCATCGTGATGTTGTCTTCGATGGTTAATGCTTATTTTCTTGAAGATGAATTGTTGCATCAACTACTGGCTTATGTTTCTTGATTGCTATCTAGTGAGCTACAAGGGAACTTCAGAA